TCTCTCTCTCTCTCTCTCTCTCTCTCTCTCTCTCTCTCTCTCTCTCTCTCTCTCTCTCTCTCTCTCTCTCTCTCTCTCTCTCTGTGTGTCTCTGTATGTGCGTGTGTATGCGTGTTTGTGTGTGTGACACGAACACACGGATTCTCTCTGTGTGTGTGTGTGTGTGTGTGACACGAACACACGCAGAATCCGAAGGGTTACTCGGAACTTACTGTATTATTTTCCACTTAAGAAAATAGAAACGAATCACCGCCCGCACGCGGCACGATGCAAGGAAAGTGTCTCGCTTAAGGTGGGACACAAAACCAATGTCGGTGTGATCACTGCGCACCCGAGGGGCTATTCTCTCCGCTCCCCGTCTCCTTTCCCAAACATAGCCAAGGAAGTCGAGGAGAAGAAGCAGAACCTTTTGCCCTAGGGGGTGGGGAAAAAAACAAAAACAACGTTCGAGGCCGCGTTCACGCAGTGAGGATGAACACACCAACGAGAAAAGGCCACGTAGAGAAGGGCGATGAAAAGGGGAGTAATAGCAATAAGCCCGAGGAGCAGCAGGAAGAAGCAAAAAGGCAGGACAGAGAAGCAGAATCGGACAAAGGGAGAAAAGAAGGCGAGACGTAAACAGGAGGGAGAAAGATGAAAAGACGAGCGAAAACGAGGAAAAAAGGAGGAACAGAAGAAAAGCCGGGAAGACTCTCCTTGCCACGTATAGTCAACCCCTGCAGTTGCGCCCTGACATCTGCTTCGCGCGCTGACATCTGCTTCCGGCGACTCCGCCGTACACGATAGGGCAGGTCCTCGACTTAGGTCAGTGCGCCTGCGGAGGGAAGAAGGCAATAGGGTTTCAATCGCAAGTACGGTACTTCTGATTTGATCAGATCACATCACATCCAGTTGCTTTCAATTTGCTTAACGAGGTAGGTAATGAGGACCTCGCTCCATTACTCCCACATCCACAAAGGCAAAAATTATGGCGGTGAATCTTCCCATGTTCAAGCGGAAGATTCATTCTCATTTTGCACATTTGGTGAGTAGCGGAGCGCGGCCCTAAGTCCCATGTCAAGTAGAGAAAGTAGTAAGGCCTCGGTAGACGACAAAAGACACAATCAAATCAACCTTCGAGGATATGAGCCACTCTTGAGGGCATACCATACTCACACTAGAGACTTTTTCTGACTCAACTCCGAACGTGATTGCAGCCAGATGCATCCACGTCCTGACCGTAATTGCCCTCAGATACATAGAGAAAAGTGCTAGTGTGAGTATACGACTTCAGGCCGGCGAATCACCCCATCACTCACTACCTGCCGTACGACGAAACAACATCATAAAGCCTCGAAGAGAGAGGGATGTGGTAGCTAAAGAAGGCTGTTCGATACAGTGTATCTATGGGCCTCGCTCCACGACCCGCCGAAGCGAAAAAAAACACACAAAAAAAGAAAAAACAGTAGGAAAAGGCCGAGTGAGTGTACATTTGCTCCTCCTTGCGGAAGATAGACTCGCCACCTTACAAGTTGCGAGAGTATCGCAGCGAAAGACTCAATGCGTAAATTTTTTTTCCCTGACCCCTGACCCGCCTGCATCGTCACCATCATCATCCTGCTACACATAGAACGTGTTCCTCTTCGTCCATCACCGCCATCATCATACTAGTAGACCTTGTTCTTCCTCCTATTCCTCATCTCCCCCCTCCTCCTTACCCTTGCTCCTCTTCTCTTCTGTCCCCTCCTCCTCCTCCTCCCCCTCCTCTTCTTTGTCCTCCTCCTTCCCCTCATCACCGTCGTCTCCTCCTTTTCTCCTCCTACCCCTCTTCCTCCTCCTCACCATCATCATCATCATCATCATCATCATCATCATCATCCTATACATATTATCATCCTCATTCTTATCACCATCACCGCCATCATCGCTATCACCATCACCATTATCGTAGTGCTGTTCAGATCGTTGGTCGGTTTCATTGTTGCACGTTGCCGTTAAAAGAGGAGGACACTTCGCGCAGTATCATCAGATGACAACTGAAGCGAACGCGCTGACCTCTGGTGTTATGTGCTTGCTGCGCATGTGCACTCCCCTCCTCTCTCGCAATTTTCCATCTCTAATCTTCTCCCGATGTAAGGAAAGTTAAGAAGAGGAAGAGAAAAGAGGACGACGAGGAGCGTTCGTGCAAATGAGACCAAAAAAAAAAAAAAACGGCAGGCAAGAGGCTGTCCCCCACATCCACGGCAATATCATGACGCGGAAGACGACGGTAAACAAAAAGGGCAAGGAGGAGGAAAAGAGGAGAGGACAGGAGAAAGAGGAGGAAGAGAGAGAAACGGGGAAAAGAACGGCAAGGCAAAGGCAGAGGACGATCAACGAACCAGAAGGCGAGCACGAGCAAACCACGACGAGAAGATAAGGATGAAGACAGCAGGCGATGGAGGACGGACGCAGAAGGGAAAGGAAGGAAAGGAAGAAGGAAGGACTCATCGTACCAAGCCGGACAATGTCCTGTCCGTGGAGTGTCGCTCCGCTGCCTGCCTGCTGCGCGTCGTGAGGAGAAAAAAGAGCGGGAAGAAAAGCGGGTCAATGAGGGCGGACTCACCTTGCCACGCCGAACTTGCCTGCCCGGTGCCGCTTCACCGCCCGCTGCGGTGCACGAGGTCACTCAGTGGAAGAGGTTGTCGAGTGGAGGAGTGGCACAGCAAGGTCGCGGTCTTAGACACTGGCAAACCGTGGCCACCTGTCACGCGCGCCCATCAGTCGTAAAATGCCGAGAAGTCCTTTTTTCGCGGTTTCCCATTTCCCATTGGCGGTTTCCATTTTTCATTTTTCACGCCTGGGACAATTTGCGTGATACCCCTAAAAGTTCCCGTTATTGGGCACCGCGCGCTGAATTTACGCTTGCGAATTTCCCATTTGGCGGTTTGCATTTTTCACGATTGGAAAACTTTGCGTGATACCCCTGAAAGTTGCCGTCATTTGGCACCGCGTGCCGAATTTCGTTCATTTGCTGCACGCCCGTGCCGCGCGCACAGCTTCACTGCAAAACCCTACGCGACGGGGCTGATACTCACGTGAGATATCACCGGGCCCAGGTAAAATTCAGAATTTTCTGGTCATCGGTTTGTATCGGGGTTGGAACTCCTGGGGCTAGGTCCCACTTGCACGAATTAAGAAATACTGACCGTACATAGCAAAGATCAACGGCCGAAATCTCCTAATTTGCGCAAGTGGGACCTTGCCCCTGGTCTGCATGTCAAAAGTTTTGGGGGGGACCAACGAAGCTAGGCTCGTTGGTACTAGCGCGATTTGGGCCTCCCATGGTCGCCATCGAACACGCACACTTGCCAGCACAAGTCCACACGCGCAGTAAGGCCGACTAAACAGTCTGACACAGTCATGCTTTTCTTGTGGACTTGTGTACGGGCCTTGCCACACCACTTCAGAGTCCCAGGAAAAATTTGTGGGTGCTCCCAAATGTTGCAACTTGTGAAGTCCCGTTCGAAAGTGCCCTTGGGGTCTCCTTGCACCACTCTCCACTCTCCGTGAAACCGGGGAGAATACGTGGAGAGCTGTCAGACTCCCCGATTTCACTTTTTTTTTGTCATGGTTGCACTTAGGGTCTTGCTCCACTACTGTCCACTATACAGAATTCGTATCGCGGCTGTATAGCTGTCAGAGCTAAAAGAATCGTATAAATTGTGGCATCGCTCCACTTCCTATCTGCTATACAAGTTGCCAATTCTTGAGTTCACTACAAAATACCCATACAACACTACACAACAACAATTTGTCGACCCAGATTCCAGGTGCTCCATACCATTTCGCCATAGAACGCCAACCTCCTTCGACCACCCTCCGAGTAACAACGTTTGCAGCCTGGGAACTATACGGGATGGTATGGTGAATTTGGAGAGCGCCATCTGACAACTATACGGTGGTTTCCAAAGTTACATTTTGGATAGTAAGTGGAGCGGTGTCCCGCCATCCGAAATCGTACAGCAGATAGTAGTGGAGCGAGACCCTTAAGGTCTCACTCTCCATTTTGTGAGTGCACTACGAGAGGACTCTCAAAAAAAGGTTGTTGTAGGCTGTGAACTTTCCTTCCTCACGGAGTCTATTTGGAAAAGGTTTTCTGACAGATCTCCAAGGTTTTTTTCCTCGTCGATTCAAGAGTTAGTGCAGCGATCCAAAACTCTTCAAAATTGTGAATCGGAGAGTAGCACAACAAGACCCTTGGTCACACTAGGCTTGAGGATGTACTTCCCCGACATCACAGAGGTCGCTACCATACCTGTTTAGTGTGGCAAATTATGACACAAAGGCTCTTGTCCATAAATGTTCACTCCCTAATCTCGGAACAAACTTGGAGGCGCAAGGGAGGTAGATCAAAACTGGGTATTCGCAGATAAGCATCAAGATGAAGTTCGAAAGTTACTCCCTAATATGATTTTTTGACATCTCTTTGACTCCCTTTCGGGAGTCCCTTTCGGGAGTTGAGTTCAACAGTATGGGCCTCGCCCGTATAAGCATTGCCACATATACTCTCGGATTCAGCTCCCGAAAGTGAGTTTGAGAGTTGTTAGAGAAGCGGGCTTGACAATACTCTCAAGCTTCCTTTTGGTACCTACCTGCAAAATGTCATTTTCGAGAGACTTCAGGCCGACCTCGGAAGTCGATCTTGAAATTCCCGAGTGGGCTATTAATGATAAACTACACTTGTTGATGGTCTTTGTCAGTCTCGGAGTTCAAGAGTGCCTCGTTAAACAACCTGCTGTTGTGAAGGGCACACTCGAATGAGAATTTACTGAAGAACACTCCCAAAAATATTCTCCAATTCAGGATTGGTGTTCCAATTCAGTTTTTGACAGGGTGATATCGGCTTTTGGGCTCGTTCCCTCGGTCCGTCCAACGAGGGCCAGTCATTTTTGCTTAAGACTTTTTCACATTTTTTTTACTATGATTTGGTTTTTGCTAGTGCGGTGTGATGTTGGAACCTCGGTCCACCCGAGCCGGAGCAGATACCATGTTTTCTTTTCCTTTCTTGCGTGCGGTTTAACGGTTTCGAACCGTTGGCCGAGTACTCCCGACGATTTCGTTAACCCCCCTTTTTTTTCAGTAGCTTTTTCAGCGATTAGCAGGATTTTGCGTGAATATAAATAGGATTACACAATAGTGACTCGACCTCTTTGGGTCTATGTTAGAGACTACTGAAGTAGGAATGGACATAGGCGGGCTTGTCGGATTGTGCGGCGGATCACGGGGTGTGTGGAACGTTGGAATGTTTAAGGAAGTATCATCTGTTGTTGTTTTCATCTTCTCGACTCTTCGAGTCTTTGCTCTTGGATTTTGACGAACTTGTGATGTTTCTCATCTATGACCGCGCACGTGAACTTACCTGAAGATAACCTGCTGGGTTGGAGTGAGCGTGATCAACCAGTACCGTTACGAGTACGTTTTGTTTGAAGTTACTGGTTTGGGTGGTCTATAGCCGTTTCGAGGTTGTGGCGAAGACCCCATCTCGGGTGCGGAGCAGCGAGAGGGTAGTAGGCTGCAGAAAAGTAGTGGAGGTGGTGAGCGTCGTCATCCTCACCAACCAACGTGTTTCAATTGCAATGAAGTCGGCCACTAAGTGAATCATTGTCCAAAACGATCAAGAAGGTATTCCGGCGCGGTGCGTCCGTCCACCTTAAGTGACTCCAGGCGACGCAGATCACCACGTCGCCATGGGGCGGGAAACACGGCCAGCTCGACCCTGCAGTGCGTGCACAAATCGTCGAATTGGGGAAAATTTTTGCGGTGCGAAACAAGAAAAGAAAGACGAAAAGAAGCGAATGATGGAGGAGGCGAGGAAGCGTGAGGAAGAGGCCAAGCAACGAGAGGCTGAGGAGAAGGATCGGTCGGAAAGGAAAGCGATAAAAATACGAGAGAAGGCGTGCCAAGAGGCGGAGTATAAAGCCGAGTTGAAGAAGGATCTAGGTATCCAAGTGGCGATCATGATGAATGAGATGCAAGGTAACCTGGTCGATAATTGAAAAAATATTGTGGGCGGATCATGCTTGGCTCGCGGCATCGATAAAGGGAAGAAGAAAGTCGTGTTTGAATCCGGCGACAATGTGTCTGCCGAAGGCGGCGGAGGAGAAAGCGAGACTAGTGTAACTCAGGAGATCAGGGAGAAAGCCGGAAGGCTTTGCTTATCAGAGAAACGCAAACGCGGGCCGGACCCAGTGTTTGAGGACAACCCACCAATGGAGAAGACTCCGAAGAAGACACCGAAACGGAAAACTTTGAAACCTATTAAGTTGTCGACTCACAAGACCCTTTCGAAGGCGATAAAGACCGTAAAGACACCTGGCTCTGCCAAGAGACGTTCTCCTGTTAAGATTCCGCTATCTATGAGAAGGAAGACCCCGACCAAGGGGAAGTCTCCGAGCGGTATTTTGACTCCATCTTCGAAGGGCGCGCTTGTCAGGCTTCGGTTCATGAACACAGCTAGTGAGGAATTGAAGGACTTCGACGCTTCGGAGCTACAATGGATCTGCAAGGAAAAAGGTATCCACTACGACAAGAAGGTGGACGCCATCTTCGATATTGTCGAACACCTCACAGCGCTCGCCTTTGACAGCACGACCGAGCACGAGCCCGATGTCATTCGTATCACTAAATCCACAAATGACGGGGCCACAAGCATTCAGCCCGACGCGATTAATAAGTGAAGAAGCTTGAGGTGTTCCCAACTCTGGGATGTGTGTAAATATTTGACAAGTTTGCGTTGCAAATTCTTGACTGTTGATCACCGGATCGATAAGCTGCTTAGATTCACCATCTTATTGTTGGCTTTGAGTGATGAGATACGTTGGGCTAGAAAGTACATCAACTATTGGATTACTTTGTATAACAAGCACGACCTTGAGTTTGTTGAGCTCACTAGTTGCGTGTATATTGCCTTGTCTCCGTATTGTAAATCCAGCTACGTAGGGAAGACCATACGCGACATAGATACGAGATTGCGAGAACATATTTACATCTGTAAGGTCCGTACTCAGTCGCACTTCCACAGACGGCTTAGTACGTTTGGGATTGGAAATTAGGTATTGATCCATATAGATATGATGGTTGGTGACGATTTATGCAAATTGGAGGAAACCTATATCCGACGATGGTGCCCGTTTTTTAATTCCACCGACAATGGTAAATCCATCCGGCAGAACAGAAGGAAAAGTAAGGCGTGCACTTGGTAAGAATTTGAGCAAGGAGCACGTATTTACCCCCATCCGTTTCCGCTGCGAATCCTCGAACCAGATCAACGTCGATTTTTTCAAACTATTTGATCGTATCCTCGGGCAAGGTAATACCCGTCTGACGATTTTTGTGGACAAGGGCGATACCTGGTGTCCTAGCTAGAAGAAGCTCGTGAAGACATTCGGTGAGACTAAGATCGTGAGCGGTAAGTTGGTGAGAGTCTTCAAGGAGTGTAAACAATTTTTTGAGGTTGGTGGGACGTTTAAGGTCTTGGTGGAAGAAGCTCGTGAAGACATTCGGTGAGACTGAGATCGTGAGCGGTGAGCTGGTGAGAATCTTCAAGGAGTGTAAACAACCTTTTGAGGTTGGTGGGATGTTTAAGGTCTTGCACGTGAATAGATGGAAGCCTCGTTGCAGTTTCATGAAGAATGTCCTTGTTACTATTCTAAGGAATCCAAGTGAATTGTTGGCTCTGTATAGATGGAGTATGAAATCCGTACTTCGTATCTACGATGTGGTCAAAGACTTTACGCGCAAATCGAGCAGAAAATATTTACGCAGATTGATTTCTCTTTGTTTTCGATATCGTTTTAACGTGAGTCTTTCCGCTGATCTGATTTTTCGTATCAAGTATAACGATAGGATTAAGATTTCAAAAGTCCGTCAGGTTGCTAACGACTTGCTTATGAAGTGTGATCTACCTTGTTGCTTTTTAATTCGAGCACGGAAGAAAATTCGAATTGTTTGGGTGAAAAATCCGTTAATTTCGGAGTTGTTGCACAACCATCGTAGTCTCGCGACACACAGTGTGCTAACCTGTTCTTGTGCAGGTTTACCCTTCCCTCGTAAGGAAGGGCATGTTATCTTCCGTCTAAGTGATCTGGATGACGCACACTCTTTAGTTGTCAATGCTAATAATGTGTCATGGGTCAGGTTGGCTAATCACTTACCTACGCTCTGTGATGAATTGTCTCGAGGTTTTTGGGAATGGCGAACTTGAAACCTTCAGGGTTCGCCTCCGTCCGTCACTCTCGATGTTGTCAAATCCTGCGTCATTAGCTCCGACGAATCGGGGAAGTTCCTTGATCTACAAGTAGTCTTAGATCTTAAGCAGCGTTTGGATGGTGTAGTCATCACTGTTATCGACCGGAACCTGGGCGAATCTGTAGTGATGTGCCCCTCTACATATTACAATGGGATGTTGAGTACTTTCGTTTTCAATCCTGGTTATCGGATCATTCCAGTATCTGAGAGTGAGAAGCTTCGTGAAATTCGGGAGGATGTCTCGGCAGATGGTTTGCGTCGATTTGCAAAATGGAATAATGACGTTCGTTTTGGCTCGACATATATTATGCCGAAACATAAGGATTTGAGCAGATCCAGGCTCATTTGTCCTACATACAACGACCCTATAGTGAAAACAGACTGAGTAGTTGCAAAAGGATTAAACTTTTTGTTGAGTACCTTACCAAAGGACTGGCATTTTAACTTGCGGTCAGTTTCAGAGATTGCCGAGAAATTGGAATCTGCTAACTGTCGTTTCTCCCGCTTTAGCCTCCATCACTTAGTATTGATTTTTTTCTTCGATATTAAAGATATGTTCAACAAACTTTCGCAAGAGGAAATATGTCGGGCAGTTGACTGGTTGATCGACCACCACCAGCGGAAAGAACGGTCTTTCATTCGCGTCAACAATCGCGGTAAGGGAGCCAGCTTCGGAGCTACTACGGGCGGGGACCACTGGGCGAAATTGGATTTGGAGGCTATTCGTGCATTCATTAGACTGGATATTAAGCACACTTTTTTTTTCGCCACTGGTGTTTTTTTAAAGCAGGAGCTCGAGGTTCCGATGGGGAAAAGCACCAACCCCCCTCTAGCCTGTGTTATGTGTGTTTTTTCTGAATACAGGTTCCTCATTAGCCTTGGGTGCTCAACTCGTATTGTTTTCGCGACTCGTCTGGTCGACGACGTTTTGCTGGCTGTATCAAGCAAGGATGAACACTTTTGCGCGAAGGTTCTGCATGGTTTCGGGAGTTGCTACCCTCGTAACTTGCAAGTGAAGCGTACTGACGATGGTTCCGATACATTGGAGTTCCTGGGTTGTCGCATTCACACGTCCCAAACCTACCCTTTCTTGGGGAGTGTGCAATTGTGCAAAAATGAGGATTGCGTGTGGACTTGCGATAAGTTGACGGTTTTAAATAGTCACTCTTTCCACTCCTGGGGTATAAATGGCAAAAAAGTGTGATCATCAGTAGTTGCCTGCATCGTATTGATCGGAACACAACCATCAGGTCTGTGATCCCAGTACGCGTCCTTACTTTGGAAAAAAAATTGATGTTGAAAGACTTTACACACGAGTTCTTCGTGCGCATTCTCAAGCGTTTTGCAGTTCGAAGGGGTGCAATATGGCAGCAGACCATCGACTTCATTTGTGGAAGCTGATCTTTCTTTGTTTTTGCCTTTTCTAGGTTTAATGTTTTGCGCAATACGACTCTAATTTTGCTTTTCGATGCTTCTTACCCTGTCTTCGCGTTACATGTTAAACCGACAGGGTTGATATTTTACATGGGTTTTTGGTTCTTGGGCTCGTTCATCTAATGCCAGTCGCCTTTTGCCTAGGATATTTGGATTGACAGGGTTAGTTTTTGACAGGGTGATATCGGCTCTTGGGCTCGTTCCCTCGGTCCGTCCAACGAGGGTCTGTCGCTTTTGTTTAAGACTTTTTCACATCTTCTTGCCTATGATTTGACTTTTGCTAGTGCGGTGTGATGTTGGAATCTCGGTTCACCTGAACCGGAGCAGATACCACGTTTTTTTTTTTTTTTTTTGCATGCGGTTTAATGGTTTCGAACCGTCGGCCGGTTTAATGGTTTCGAACCGTTAACCCTTTTTTTTTTCGGTAGCTTTTTCAGCGATTAGTAGGATTCTGCGTGAATATAAATAAGATTACACAACAGTGACTCGACCTCTTTGAGTCCATGTTCGAGACTACTGAAGTAGGAACGAACATAGGCGGGCTGGTCGGATTGTGCGGTGGATCACGGGGTGTGTGGAACGTTGGAATGTTCAAGGAAGTATCATCTGTTATTGTTTTCATCTTGTCGACTCTTCGAGCCTTTGCTCTTGGGTTTTGACGAACTTGTGATGTTTCTCATCTCATCAAGGTCCATAGGCCTCCCCACACCACTTCTGGATTGTGCAAAATGACGCATGTATCTTCCATAAACATAGAAAGATACATTGACCATAAGTTTCATCTTTTTCATGTCGCGTGAGTGGTGTGGCAATGCCCTATATGTGGGGATGTTTTTATTAAAATGACCGATTTAGGGACTGGTGTTGTCCAGAGCATCCGTCCCGCAGGGGGACCCTCCCGACCACGTCACGCAGGATTCGTGCAGGAATTTCTTACCGTGGTGCAATGGAGTTTTTGTCGCCGCTCCGACCGAGTGCGCCAACCATACCTCTCGCGAACCCCTACAACAGGATAGGGTCACGAGAGGTACAACTTATCTCTGACCAAGGGGTTGTCACCACCCTTGGACAGACATATCCCCGCCGAGCTACCGAACCACATGTGAAAGCTAACCAGTTACAATCGTAGAGGTGGTCCAACTGAGGGCGTTTCTCGTATGTTGTAGCATAGGGGGTATGCACGTTCTCACACATCTATCGGATCCATACGTGAATCGACGCACTGGGGGCTGAAGTCCCAAGCGCGACTCGTCGTTGGTCGATTAGGACGCATTCACCTTACCATGCGTTTCACCACGTCAAAAACACAGAATCAAGTTACTCACACAAACAAAACACTCATAGTCCCCTTAGTATTCGACCCATAACCTTTCGACACAAAATCGGTTAGGCGTCACGCGAAAGGCTAAATATAAATATCGCATTGACGCATATTTTCTCATATCGACTAGTCGTGCCTGAATGGGCAAGCAGTCGCAATGATGGTGTACTATGCAATACGCATAATCGCGGGCCCCTCAATGGTCTCGAGGGTCACTTTCCACACTCAAGTGGAGACTAACACACGCTTTGAGGGATTAATCTCTCGACGCTAGACAACCATCATGGCGGTCTCTTTTCTCTCAAGCCAAATCCGCTCAATCTTTACGCAAAGCCACAGTAGACCGCGCAGATACTTAGAATATATACATATATACATATATGGTACAAGACAAGAGACGATAATTTTTTATAATCATTGTGTGACTTTCTTCAACAGTATGATCGCAGACAAGTCAAATTCAGAGTTTGTACCACAATCATACATGCAATCACATCAAAGACTCAACCAAAAATCCACACACTACACGGGGGCAACATCAACCACTCTCTGCCCTAATACCCCTCGCTTTAGTCATGTAGCCTCAACCTATGTCAAACCTTCCATAATAAAATACTCATTGTCTTTATTAAATGGTTATTTAATAAACTCCGGGTGAAAACCCAACAAAAAAATGAAAACCACATGCGTTAAAACCTTTAGGTTGAATAGCGAGAGTGAATTAGAGTTGAGTCGTAAACCGACGA